GGAGAGCAAGCATGAGACATGACTCTTCGTTAGCAGCTTGGATGAGGCTAGACAGCGACCTCAATAAGCCTATTTGTGCCTATGCAGACAGAACATCTGCATGCATTGTGGCAACTATAGTGACACCACTCACAACTCTCAAAAAAACTATGTAAAGTTGGGATATTTTTCGTCAATGACACGGCATTTGTAATTACTTTGCACTTCCAATTGCAAATAATATCACAACATATGATGCAACATGCGGCAATTGAAAGGAAGATTCCATTAATTGTAGCGAATAAAAATAAATGAACAAATAAATAAAAATGATAAAATGACGATAAAGGCGAATTTCAGGTGAGCCATGCAAGATAAAATAAAAATGACCGCATCATGAAAATCAAGCTAATGCGATACGTTATCTGCACGAGTTTAATTAAACAAAATAAACCTTGGAGCACGATAAAAGAACAAGTTGCTTTAGAATTGTCATTGCTGACTTGACTGAGAAACTGCAGCATTCCAAAGGAAACTCGTCACAAAGAGCATAAACATTCCTGGCAGTGTGAATTGCGATCAATACTTCGACGTGAGGGTGGCGCCAGGACTCGTCGATAATGAAGTGCACCAACAGATATATTATCGATACCATCGCCACGCTTGACCAACTCAGATTTAGTTACCACAATCAACTGCTGATAATCTAAAGCATTTACGATAGACACCTTTAATGATACCGAAACATGCGTTTGTGTGGTAATAATTGAGGAGTTTGTAAATTAAATGAACTTTTTTAAGTGGGCAAATAGTTCAGAAACTCATTTTTGTCTTCGTTTTCAGAAACAGGCCAGAAACAATGCATGAAAAATAAAAGCTGTTAGAATATTTTAATTGCAAAATAAAGCCCGTACAGCGAGTAAGAGTACAATATATATCGTGAGGGTGATGAATAGCCTCTTACATCAATCGCTAAATGTCACAACCAGACTTCAACAAATGAAAACAAGGAATGTGTGGACATAGGGAGAGAAAATGACATTCTTTTCCTGCAGCGACTTTCATTTTTTTGTGAAGTTGTTCTTTTACAAATTTCCAAGCAGTGGCGGCTAACTTAATAATCAAATGGAATTTTCTTACTCAAAAAATTCAACCATAAATTCAATTTATTCTCGAGAGGCAGAGTAATTAAATAAACGTTTTTCATATAGCACTTCAAACGAGTTGTATACAAAAATCGGCTATCTGTGCTGATAATAAATCACATAAAAATGCCCCCGTCACTAAAACGAGTGTGACAAGGTTTGCTTCAATTGACCAGACCGCTTGAGGACGGTGAGAAGAGAAAATATGTTGTTCAGAAATGAAAAAGCTAGAGAGTAAGCGTGGTTAAAAGTTGGGCAAGAACCGAGATGTAGGTGCTTGTAAGTTGACTGCTTTCGCTTGCGCAACACAGAGGAGAAAAATACAGCGAGGTTCCTGAAGCCCCACAACAGAGACTAATAACTCATTGGTTAGCTTCTCGGGATCTTTGAAACGCTCTAAAACCTCTTCATTTAAAAGTCATTCATCGCTTCGTAAGATGACACGAGTTGACGCATGTGGTGCATCAAAACTAATAAAATTACGTCAAAAATACTGGCGATGGCAAAACTGGGTTAATTGTGCATCAAGCGAATTGACAAGAGAATTGAGTTATAAAATTTTCCATGGTTGTATAATATGAATTCTTTAAAATGACCAGAATGTTTGGTTTATCGATACTTGTCAACAAACAAACGAATATTGCTCGCCAAAATGAGTAACGAACAAAACGTAGCATAGACACATTTGCGGTCGGGACACATTTCATTGCAGCATGACTAAAGAATTTCTTAGTTCTCTATAGAGACGACTAGCTGTTAGTGGTCTAATTTTCATGGTTCGTCCTTTGAGGAGAGAAGAGGGTCTTCATACACCCTGAAGAATGATTGATTAACAAAGGAAACGGTAATTGAGGCACGCCTTTCGATCAGGACATGACTGTCATCTTCTAGTCATGTCCTGGACGCCCATCATCCAACGGTGTCATTTGTGGAATTATCATCGCGTGTTAATTTAGGAGACAACTTTCGTAAAGTAATAATACGCATTACCGTGGCAATAATTAAAAAGTCGCTCCATTTGCCTACGAAAAGAATTATTGGACGCAGTTCGACGTCAGACATGTAAGAAATTGTGAATCTATCAAACTGTTACAGCACCTTTTTCTTAAAGAAAACAAAAATACGAACCATGACAGAAAAATACGTGACATTGCGATTGCAATATTTTGTTTGCTGTTACTAGACGCTATATTAGAATAGATCTGAACAAATATACGACAGAACAGCACGAGTTTCGCAATAAGAGTGACAGTGACAAAGCTAGTTGAATAATCCCTCAAATAAAAAACGAAACAAAGCAATACAGTGAAGATAATTAATGATAATCATGACTGCAGAGTGCTCGAGTCATGACACGTCACCAAGCGAGTTAAATTGTCCCTGAAATGAAAGAAACAAAGCAATAGAGTGAAGCTAATGAATGATATTCATGGCTGCAGAGTGTTCGAGTCATCACGAGTCATGACACGTCACCGAGCCGCAGGATGCCACTTATCACGCATGAAGCTTCACGCGAACGGTGCATGCGTACCGCAGTTCAGGTCTCCCACCCAGTGTTTATCATAGAATACCGAGGAAATTCTGCGCGTAATATACCTAACATGAGAGGCTTGCTTGCAACGTAAAAAATTTTGATAATTAAATGTAGAACTCTGTAAGCTTCCGATCTGTAAACGACTTAACAACGTAGTGCACGTAGATATAACCAGTACGAATTTCTACCATGAGTTCTCTGTTTAGAGTTTAGTAAAGACGAACTAAGTAAAATTACGATTAGTTCATGAAACCGAAAAAAATAAAATATTTAGTTCCTGAAACCCGAGGCTCTGGACTATAAAACGATCAGAGAGTCGGGCGATGCCGGAAACCGTGGCGGTATCACAGGTGTTGCGCGAGACGCGAGTGAAGCAGCGTTCGACTGCTGTGGGTGCGGCTATAGACGCTTCGCATCCAAAATTCGTGGTGTTGAAGTTTCTAACCATTTTGATGCCTTTCTTTCATTTAGAATGACACTCAACACTTAATTTGTACGCTGATGGTAACTGTTGTTACAAGTTTTTTAGGTGAGAATAGCATAGCATAGTTAATGCATCCGTAGACAAAGGCTTAAGTCGGTGGTTCCCAAACTTTTTCAGGCTGGCGCCCCCTTTGGCTCCCTAGTGAATTTCTAGCGCCCCCACAGGCATATATAAAAAATACGCCCCTTTCTTGATATTTAGTACCTACGCAGCAATTTTAAAGGAGAAAGGTTTAACATAAATGTGTATTTCGCAAATAGAACCCCATATAGTGAACCAATACGTTTTTCAGCTGTTTTAACTGTTTCAGCACTAGAAACCTAGGACATCTCGGGCAAATTTACGGCCGGACTCGTGGCCGCTCTCACGACTAATTCCCACATTCAATTATCGAGTAATACCTATCTCCCAAACTAATGAACGCAGCTCAATGAAACTTGGAACATGTACTCATCAGAACCTAACGGTGATATTTAGCTCGTGAATTTTTTTTAATTTCACCTTCATTCGTTAGTTATATTGCGATACAGGCCGAAATTCGCAGTGATCAAAGAATTTCTTGTAAATTACTGAATAGATTTAAACGAAATTTTGAATATACATTCCTAACTACCAAACGGTGATTTTTTTGGCTTATAAATTTTTTCGATTTTACCTTCGTTTTGCGAGTTTTTTTTTCAGTACACCGTCATTCTTGATTTCACACTTCCTTATATTCGGCCCGTATCGCCGGGTAATTTGTCGCTTTAATTCGCAACGATCAAGAAATTTCTAAACTACTTAACAGAACTCAACGAAACTTCGTATATAAATGCCTTACCTCCCAACGGTGATGTTAAGCCCGTGACAATTTTTCTATTTTGCTTTCGTTCGCGAGTTATACAGATCTAGAAGGAACGACAGGCTTTTCTACCGGCCGTTTTAACCAAGAGCCGTATACGTATTGCTGTATAACTCGCAAACGAAGGCAAAATGGAAAAAAGGTAACGAGCTATACATCACCGTTGCTGAGGTTAGGTATTTAAATACTAAGTTTCGTTCAAATCTATTTAGCAGTTTGGAAAAAAATCTTGATTACTGCGAATTTAAACACTATTGCTGTTTAAATCACGAATGAAGGTGAAAAAAAAAACTCGCGAAAGAAGGCACAATCGAGAAAATTTTCATGAGCTAAACATTACCGTTCGGTAGTTAGGACTGCAAATTCAAAATTTCGTTCGAATCTGTTCAGTGATTTGGAAAAAATTACTTGACCACTGTGAATTTCGGCCCGTATTGTCTGGCATATAACTATGGCCACAACAAACGATGGAAAAAATTCAAACAATTTGAACTTGCCAATAAAATGTTATTAAATGAATTTGCAAGCATAGATTAGTAGTAACTTAGTAGGCATGGCCTAGAAAAATCAGGAGTCTGCCATTGTCAGTACAAACAAACAGACGTTTCATGAGTAATCTTCCACTTACAAGAGCTAAAAAAGTTTTTTCTCTTAACATTAGAGAATATGCACGAGGATCATCATAATGATGTGATGGACAGCGGTTATAAGCATGACTGAAGCAAATATTACATAATCATTGGTCGACTATCGCGATAGGAAATTTATGCAAGCGTCTATGAAACGCAATATGCTTAGGCGGCACAGGCTCCAGTTACATTACAAGTTTACAACAGCATCTAATTCACCAGAATGCCAGCAGAGTAAATGGGAGAACAAAGAAAAAAATCAGAAATACAAGCACTACAGGCAACAATCAGTTTTGAAAATAGTTTTTACCAGAAACTGACAGTAGGACTAGGAAGACAGAGTATATTGCCCATGAACAAGGTCAACAAGACGGATTTCATGTCTTACCTTGAGACGTTTGATCTGCATTTTGAAGGCTGCAATCTCTTGCTTCTTGATCTCGGCATTCTTTACGAGATCCGATACCATCTTTTCCAATCGAATGACCTTCTCCTGCGTGTACTTGGCATTCTCTTCGGCATTGAGGTCTTCACAGAATGTTTCGTTTTCTTTAATGTTTAGCTTCTTGGAGTCAGAAGTGGCATTTTGACTGGAGTCAATAGAGGATGAATGGTCAGTGAGCTTCTTGGACTCGTTCCCCCCAGTTGGTGCTTGCTTGGCCGGTTGTACTTGGTTGGTTTGATTGGTGGACTTCGACGAAGCAACAGCAGACGTTTCTGCACTGGTAGGATTATTTTTCGTTGGCGATATTCTCTTCTCAACTTTGGCAATAGTTTTTTCAGGAACAGAGACTTCTTTAGTCAATATTTCATCCCTGGTTTTCGATTTGCACTCTGTATCGTTTTCAAGTTTGGTGATAGAAACAGATTTAACTGGTTCAACGCTTACGCCGGATACGGCATCTGAGGGATTTTTGGGTAGCTGTGAACATTCGTCTTCTTTGGAGCTTTTAGAGTTGCGGCGCGCTGGTGCAACAGGCTCGACGACGAGTGAATGTTTCGTGTTTTCGAGCACTGATTTCTTTGAGATATCGACAGCAGGAGTGGCAGTCGAACTAAGCTGGGGAACAACAGAATTTATGGTGATCATGGCCGATACGGCGGGACCTTCGGACTTGGTCGTCATATCGACGACTTTGTCGTAGAAAGTGGAAGAGCCTGAGCGAGTAGGAACAACGATGGTTTGTGGAGGACAAGACTTGAGGGCTGTGACCGTATGGACTTCCACTGTTGGTACGGGCATGGACTGCACAGTGGGAGCAGATGTCACTTCCATAATTTCTTGTTCTTCAGGGATATTTGTATCTTTAGGAAAAGTATTTGACATTTTCTTGAATTTTACCGGCTTGCTCGACTTATCCTCCTTATTGGAAAGAAATCCAGGATCAGTCGATGAAAACACACCATCCCCCTCTCGACCATGACTTCGTTTCACAGGCAACAGCACAGACGGAGCCGAGACTTTCCGCAGTTCGCCGGCCGACGCCCCAACTTCTTGCTCTGAACTTGGTTTGCTGCCTCCGTGATCCTTAGAGATCCTACGGAAAAAGGACTTAATACGTGAAGACATGGCGCCTAATAATGAACCTCACAAAAAACGTAAGGATTCGCAAACTTGGTTTACTAACTATTTAGGCACATTGGAAGACAATATTTGAGTCTAGTATGTTCAAGAACTACCATCCGCCACTGTAAAAAAATAAATTCATTAAAACATAGCATGGCATCAAATAAAAACTGCAACTTCTCTCTGAAAGTTTTCTTAATAACTGCGAATAGTTGAGGAGAATATGGGAACAAAAAAAGACTGCATAAAATCATTTGTAGAAGTGCCGACGTCATGCGTCCCCGTGAACGACTGGCTTTCATGACTATAATGAACGACTGACGCACCTTGATGAATCCCACCATGGATGACTAAGACACAGGACATAACCACAAACGACACACTTTGATGAATCCCACCATGGATGACTAAGACACAGGACATGACCACGAACAAGTCAAACACATTCTTGCTATCAACACGAGACCAGAATAACATGGCAGAGTATAGATAAGTGAGCAGTGATAAGGTCATATAAGGTAGCAGTCTAGGTAATGAGCAAATGTCATAGAGCAAAGCGTCTGCAACTGCAGTCAGAAGCAAGAGTCAGGGTCAGGGAGCTCGTCATGTCATTAGTTTCCTTCTCTTCATTTTAAATGAGTGACATAAGGTCAATTCCAAGACATATAATTTCACGTATATCATTCTAAAATGTATCAATTTCTGGATCATAAAAGTTAAATGCATTCATATCAAGATAAATACAATTTCAAGAGAGAAGACTTTATAGAAAACAACATGGACTTTGAACTAAGCAAAACTAAAAATGGCTGTAAATGGAATTCCCAGCTGCTGCTATCCTGAGAAAATGTTATTTTTTTTTTTTGTTCTTCATTAAACAAGACAAATAGGATTCAAATTTGAAAAATCTTCTACAATTAAAATCTGCACCAGATTTTTACCATTTCATCTACTCAGATACATAGATACTAATTTCAGAGTGATCAAAATTCTCTACACTCAATAGTGCCTATCCAATCCGGTTAGGTTAGGAAGGGGGTTTTTGTTGTTATTCTAAGGTTAATGATCAGTTGTGCAGAAAAAAATATAAATATTGGCTCTTAGGTAAAGTCTATAATTCCCTGCCTATACTTTGCATCTCCAAGTATGTTTAATCAAATAAGTTTAATTAGTGGATATATTATCATTTGCTTCCTGTTATTACAAAACAATGTTATCCTCCAGCAATGAAATGCTGTAGTAAAATTCATCAAATCTCATATTTTTTCACCATGGGACAATTTGAGGCTGCAACATCAATTTAAATTAAAACTAGCATTTTACCATCCTCAGAAAAATTCATGAAAACTTTTTGAGAAATATATTAGATTCACTTGTCCATGATTTTCACACTCAAGTTTCAAGTCCAATCCATTTTATGGACCAGCACATCACAGGCATATCCCAATTCATGACTATTTTTACAACCTGAATTACCAATCAAGTATTATGGCTAGAGGTAACCTTAGACAATTTCTGATTAACTGTGAGAATTCATTTTAGATATTTGGACCATCTTTGAAATATAACAACTATCAGCCCAAACTAATCGCTCAACTTGAACATTTTAAAACAACACAGACCAATAGTAGCATCTCTTACATACACACAGCATGATAAAAACGCATATCAAAATTTATGAACGGCTATGAGATCTCTCGTGTCGTTGACGACAGAATGAGCAATGGATGGCATACCGAGTGAGTAGTGACTGAAGACTACATGCACCTGCCAAACTAGTCGCGCAGCTTTCCAATACCTGAGTAAGAAGTTGCAAAAACTTCCCTATTTAGCCAACCAAATCCCAGTGCTAATAGATGGAAGAATCACGAGATACATTGCTAAACATTTCGAACGTGTTTGGTAGAGACTAACTTTCATCAAGGCGAAGATTGGTAATGAATAGATTTTAAGCGTCAGATAGTAAGTTCCTAAATTCATCCAGTAACGATTTCATTTTAATCCTCGGCTGAATATAAATAAAAAAAAATACTTGTCGATAGTCAACAAACTTGGCGGAATTCGTGTTTCATTGTACTTTGAGACAATTTTTCGATTAGCGGTGGTTTCGTGCTAAATGTAGGTACAAGTAGTTCTACAGTCACCGAGTCACGTAAGTCGGAAAATCGAGTTCCTAGCACACATCGACAAAGCCGTATTTTCGAGTTGGCAAATATTAGAGATAGGTTATGGACAAACTGTTCTCAATGTCTGAATGAGCAAATATTAGAATAGAAGAAGAAACAAAACTTACAGAAGTCATGCAGGGCAATTGGTAAAACGGCCCGAGACTAGCGACATTAAATGTCCCAAACCAACTAGCATACTACCTAAAGAAATAAACACGATACAGTGCCGAAAGAAATACACATGCTAAGAATGACCATGAACTTAGCTTTAAAATATCTTTGCTCAACGTAGAATTTTACGAGTTTTATAGAATATCCAAAAGCACAAAACCGACAGGATGTTTCATGCAACATCGGCGCTGTTTCTACCACAGGCACGGCTGACACGTTCCTGCTTGCCCATTGACAGACTAAAAAGCTTTTCTCGAGATAGTTTTTTCAAGAATAGATACACCTTAAATCCGTGAAGTTCCTTTGAATCAGCGGAGTAAGTTTTTCCCCGACATCGAATATTGTCCAAGTCACTAAAATCCTTGCTTTCTTTCAGAGGCGAAGCAGGACCGACTCACACACACCCACTCGCACGCCTAGATGAAGACTGGCCGTCTGTCAGTTACAACTTTACAAGGCAGCGGCTTGCGCTTCACCGCTGGCAAGCGTTTGTTCGTTCGTGCGTTACACCATCAGGAGCTGCGTGGTGGTAACCTCGACCACCTAAAACTTCAATATGGCGGCTTATTTTTGCCTTCCAAACTTTCAATGAATGATATTTACGGTTAATTTACTCCGACATAATTCACCATTGAAACCACGTCAGTATCAGGGCGACAACCAAATAAGTGAAGTCCTTGAGACGAACAATGTCAAAAAATAATAAAAACATCAACACTCCAGAAAAAACAAGACCTGCCAAAGCAGACGGGAAATAAATCTAGGCCTACAATGCGGCAGTTAAAGTTTAGTGAGATAACAACGAACTGGTTGACGACAGTTGAGAGCAAGAACTAAAGAAGGTGTAAGAGATTATTTCCATTACTAGCAATAAATTCCCTGCCCCTTAAAATTGGTGGTTATGTAGCAAATTTTTTCTCCGAGCAATTTAAAAGTCACTAAGTTATTTGAGCATTCAACTTGGCGACAGCAATGTTAAAAACATGAAAGAGGCATCTCACTTAATACGATATGTCGTAGTGGAAAATACGCTTTAAAATTTTCAGCAGCATATGGTAAAGGGGTGCGAAAAACTGCTGGGAACATCAGTATATAGGTGGTTGCCCACCAAGAACCATAACCAATAACACACATAAACATTGATGAATTTCAGGATGCAGTTTGTAATACTACGCCACCGAACGAACGCTTTAAGAAAACGTTCTTCTTCCATACTTAATCAGACATATTCTTGATTTATGACGGAAGAAGAATTCGGACAGTAAGACTTTCAAGAATTAAGAATGAAGAGTCAAGTTTCAGTTAAATTCTTAGCCAAGAATAAATTAACCAATCGAACAGAGAAAATGCAAACAGATTTTCAGGTATCTTCAAACAAAGAAATCTCAGCTACAAGAGCAGACCGACGGGGATCCAGTAAGTGATCAACTTTTCCAATCAAATAGTATTCAACGAAATTTTTAAATCATGTATCATCGTAATATTAATTTTATTCACAACCGTGAGTAGGAGAAGTCCGATGGCTCTAGTGTCTTTATATCCCTTCTGCATTACCTTATTCTATATAACAACCAAAATGTTCATTAACGAAAGTAATCGTAATTTTGCTCTGCAGTTAGTAAATTTTTTTCGGTGACAATACAAACAGTAAGTCAGCCAAGCGAGGCAACGATAAAGCCATTTTCGAGTGACGACACTGACTAAGATTGAATGAGAGAAACGAAGCCCTTACAAGGAACGTAAAAGAAAAGGAACTAGGAAGCAAAACTGGAAATAGAAGGAGCTCGTAACTTGTGGAATGTAGGCATTGTCCCTAACTAGAATTTTTAGCCAGTCGTATCATCACTGAACATGATTAACCGATCAAATGAACTTCACGCTCCCTTGTTTCACAACCACAAAACTCTTTTATGCCGGCAATTAATTATCCATCGTCATGGAAATTATACAGTGTAAAGAAATGATTGTGAAACAATTTTTCAAGCTCAATTTCAAGAAAGTCAACTTGTCATCAGTCAGCCCAATGATGAAATGAGTTGGATGCAATACTTTCATTTAATTATTATCGCTTGAAGTTGGATACAGTTGGAAATTTTCAGAAATTAAAATATACATATAAATGTATAATAAATTTAAAGTCCATACCTATAAGTATACAAGGGTTAAGAAACACTCAGGTGTTCGGTAAATTAGAATATGATATCTGCGGCGATGTGTCCCACTGGCGTTATAGAATTTACAGAACTTCATGGACGCAAAATTTGCGTGTTAATTCAAGATCTAACAACGAATTCATTGTGTTATTGTCAACCTGATTTACCATCTTGGGTTCGAGAAATATGCGAAAATCAATACGTCATTGCAGGACGTCCAAGAGTTTTTGATAATATTGGTTAATATCAGCATTAAACCGACTATTTGGACCGCTGATTTTGATAATAAATTTATCACAATACACTCGAATTGTACAATACTTCAAAACATCGAATTGGTTGATATATTTAGCAGGTTAGACATGTGATTATAATTTTTTAACGTAGCCATGTCCGGTACGATGTAATACTTTATTCTACGAACAAGCAAAGATCGAGGTATAATCAAGGAACTCAAGTAATGCGATGATTATCGACGAGCATTACACCACCAGCGTCAAAGTGAAGGATGAAAACATCAAGAAGAGAATTATTTACCAGTTTAAAGATTCAAAAATCGAGAATAAATTAAGCGTTCACATGCTCAAGGATCTCAGAATCGCGTTGCTGGCGGGATACTATCAAATCATTATTCAAAAGGTTCCTAGAAATAAATATCTTTATCGAACTTAAGTCTCAATCTTAAATGTGTCCAACTCAAGCAATACAACGAAATGTGATAAGCATATATCATATTGATAAGCATATGTCCCATATCTCGTCAACATAAGTCACAAGTTTAAGGAGATCATAAACGGAGACTAAAACATTATGATGGGCTCTCCCACTGAAATCTGCGGCTGCAGAGAAGCAGACTTCCATAAGCTAGGCTTTGCTAATCTAAATTTCAGAGTTATTATTTGCCACGATGTTCAGGACATCAGACACAAAAAAACATATTCTTGAATTAATAACCAACTACAGTGGAACTCCGGAATTCGACCGTATAGGAATTCAACGTTATTCAAAATTCATGGAAAATAATAGCAAAACCGCCGCTCGGAGTCGATATAAATAAATCGTGAGTCGACGTAAACCACGCGACATTTTTAGACAAATGCTGTTTTGTTTCGCAAATCCAAGATAATGGGCGTTATTTTGCTATGTTTTTGTCCAAAAATGTTTTTACACTTAGCTGCTTCTCTCTGCGATTTTGTGCACTATAAAACAGCTTGATATTGAAGTCGACTGCTTCTGTAGTGGACACTTTTTTAGTGACGGATGAAGATAGACTTCCGGAGTACCACAGTACCACTGTACGTGAATTTTAATGGAAACTTTGCTTCTTACTTTGCTAGATCTTCGCACTTTGTTTCCTGTAATATAATTATTACTATTATTATATTATCATTATATTGTTAAGCACTAACCTGAGCAGAGTTGTCAGTATCGCAGGTGAAGAAGTACATACAGGGGAGTCCAAGAAGCCGTCTGTACCACCCGGTAGATCGTCCAGAAAAGCAGCCTCGTGATTAAATCTCTCCGATTGGTCCAGCGAACAAGGAGAAAAGTTTTCCGAAGAGGAGCTTTGTAGTGAAGGATGCGCAAGGACGTTCTTAAGAGGCGTAGAGAGACAAGTCAAGCCACCATTCACATGCCGTTTTGCCTCACTATCTTCAGCACTAGGTTTACCTCTATAACCGTTTACGTGAATTCTATGCCCAATCCTTGCCTTGAGCGTTTCACGAATCGGGGTTTTACAAATACTAAGCTTCAAATCGTTTTCAGATTGGTAGTTTTGGTCGTGACCATTAGAATTCGGCTGAGATATGGATCTGGCATAAGGACTTTTTGATTTGCTTCGATTATTTTCACATTGGTTAATGGGATCAGTAGTTTTACGTGTCTTAGCGGTGATGGTCGCTGTTGTGACGGTTCTCCTGGGGATTTTTTTAATGTTATTATTCCTACGCGATATTCTCAACTCTGAGCATCCACTGTCACTGGAGGCATTGGAAGAACTGAGCTCGGCGCTGTCGGTACTACTAAGAGATCCTTTGCTGCTGTTGCTGTCGTTGCCGTGGTCAGTGCTACTACTGCAGCTTGTTTTACGAGTGTTGATGAAGCAGTGACCGTTATAAGGATCCTGACCTGGTACACGATGACGATCATGAATGCACTTATCTTTAGAGCAAGTATCACACAGACACTCTGTGGAACCATCACACCCGTAAGGGGCGAGGCAAAAATCTGGATTGTTGGCGAGGAAGACGTTAGAGTGCGGGGTAGGTTTGCGTCGAACAGCCACCGAGTTGGGCACCCTGCCACTCCTGGCGACGCTAGTGTAGGTTGTGCTCCTGCTGGTTATGGTCTCCACTGCGCGGGAGGAGCTCACTTCTGGAGATCGTGAGGTTGTAGGTTTCTGCGAGCTGTTCGAATTATTGATGTTATTGTTGTGGCTGTTACAGTCTGTAACTTTCAGTGAGCTGGGAGCATTACTGAAAATGAAAGTTAAAATATAAGAACATGAGAGAAATATCAAAACTAAGTACTAACAAAATAGTAGTCAAGGAAACTGTCCCTATAATTCAAATGATTTTGTGTTAACTCAATAACTGATTTACTCAGTTCTAAGATGAGATAGGATTATGAATTAACTAGACTGAGGAATCTATGTTCTCATCCGTATATACTGGAATTGAGATTTCAACATTAAAATTTTACAATTAATGAACTGGAGCCAGTAAATTTTCTGATCTGGATATTTTGACATAAAATGTCTAACAAATGTAAAATGAAACTTAACACAAGTCAGTGCAAACAATTGAATCAAGTTAGCAAATAGAGGTTTGTAAAGCAATACAAAAACAAACAATTTAGAGTGAACCCGACTTCTGAAGTACCAATAAAGCTAATGTAAAATACCTGGAATAAGAATAAATGGAAAACTTTGATATAATGATCTATAAATAGATGGAAAATGAGAATCAAGAAGCGGACAATCAAAGAAGAAAACGTGCATGGAATCATGTTCAGTTTACCTAATTTTAGGAGGAGCTGAAGCCTTGCGATTTGGTGTGACAATTGGACCTCTGGTGGGACGCACGGGAGTTACAACAGGTTTATTGGATTTCTGAGCGGCGTTGCTACTGTTCGTGTAAATTTTGGGGTTTGAGGGCTGGGCACTTCTTGGGGTTCGGACGGTGACGAGAGGCGAGGCGCAACTCGCTGGAGTTACGCCAGTCCGAGGACCACGAGAGGTGAGGCTGTTGGTAGTGGCAGCTCTGAGGAGAGGCACGCGTTGTGCTGACGCAGACCGCGTCTTGGCTGTAGAGGGGCGAGGGCTGCTGGCTGGTGCACGTGTCTGGGAGACCGCCCTCACGCGCCGTCCGCAACCTTGTGCTGCACCCAAGCTGTCCAAACCGTTACTCAGCCCAGGCCTGGAAGAAAATGATCATGAGACGTCTTGCTGTGACTAATAACATCTAACACAAAAAGTGATATGTTTCAAAAACCTTCTGAAAATTATAACTCCACAGAGATTAGGTAGATACATAGTCGTTAAATATTTTCAAATGTAACCATTTCCTGAAAATGTCACATATTAAGAATAAATTTTCTTGCAGCTTGACTGGGAAGAAGGAAATGTATAGAAATTATGTCACGTCACTGTAGCAATGATTCAAATGATCTTACACTGAAAGAGTTACCTGACATAACTTCTAAAAAAGTTTGCTGACCAAATATACCCTCATTTCTAGTAAAAATCCCAAATTATTCATAATAATAATTATTTATTTTATATAAGTCAACTATAGAAGAGTGGGAGACAAGGCAACAAAAAAGCACAGCAAATAATTCTAATACTAAACAGAATAAGAAGCTTGAGATAAATTAAGAGTGCAAAATAACCAATTGTAATATGACACAATAGGCATGAAGAAAATAAACAATGATGGTGGCAGAGAGTCACCAAATATTCCACTGTTAAGATAATTCCATTCTGACATGTAGTAAGTGATCAGTTGAATGTTTTCATTCACCCCTATTTACTCATTCAATAGATGTAGGTATATTCAATGCTTATAGGCAATTACCAGAGATTATTGATATTAGGTTATATAAACTTATACACATACTAGTTTTAAAGATAGATTATGAAATTTTTTATCAATTTTTGAAGTTTGCGCACTAAGAATTCAAACATTAAGAGAAATTGCAAACAGGAATAACACACAGCATGTTTAAAATCAATAAATATAAGAGAAAGTAGCATACCTTGGAGAGTGAGCAACACGAGCAGCCATACTGGGGCGCGATAAAGGAGACAGCGCCCGCAGACGGCTGTCCAGAGCAACCGACACAACCTGCAGCAATAAAATTTTTCAAAAAATGCTATATTAAGACATGAATATCTTTAAAAAAATTTAATGTATCCATTATTGAAAAAGGTAAAGAATCTGGTAGGAAGTATGATTCCTGAGATAGTCCAGGGTAAATGAACAGCAGATTAAGAAGAAATCCATTTTTTTTAATGTTACTACCATCAAATGGTGTAAGAAGAGACAATTTTTTTCTTTCATTTTTGAAAACTTTTTACCATGAAACATTTTATAGACAAGTTCGGGCTTATTTGAAGGTCTTTGTGAGGGCTATTGTAAGGCATCTCCAAAAAATTCCATATGCTATTCTTAACCCATTAATGCCAAGCGGTTCCATTTGGAACTAGTGGGAAAAAATGGATTCATAATAAAATTGTAAGATCAAATAAATATATATACAAGTGGATGCGTAGGTTTGATACACATCTTGTACATGTTCTGGCAACGTTTGGTTCTGCTGCACCGATGATACTAAGCACATGATACTAAGACTCTCTTAAGGGGACCGGCTACCTTCCAACAGAACTTTTTTGTTTACAGACAGATCGTTTTAAAACTTGGTACACATATGTAAAACAGAAATCTAAGACCCTTTTGTTCATGTAAATTTTTTGAAAAAAATGAAAGAAAACATGGAATTAATAGAAAATGATAAAAAAGAGGTACCGGTACTCTAAAAAAAGTTTATAACTTTTGCAAATCACATGCTACAATGTCGGGAGTTGAGACACATATCATTCAATTTTTAACAACAATATCTAGCGACTGTATAACCCCAATTATTTATTTTCCTCATTGTTTTTTTTATTTGCGTTCTCATTTTTTCACATTTCTACCGCCCCCCCTCAAATAGGGTAAACACAGTATATTCTGACATCGTGGGTAATTCCGACAATTCTCAACTTTTTTCCTTTATATTAAGCTTAGTCTTGATTCCACGCATTTGTTGATGGTTGCAATAGTGACGTCATACTATTGCGCACCATACTATTGCCAAAACACTAGGTCTGCGCCGTCTGGTGGGAAAATGTTAAGATCCAAAGAGAGACAGTGCACATCACCCAGTGAGAACATCGAAAAACGTGTCAAAGTTGATAGTTGACCTTGCTCTACCAAATAGTGATAAACTGTTTGTGTAGAAAGAATATTATGGTTTGAGACTTTTAAATAAGTCTGTGAATATATTAGGAATCCCTTATGTATACTTGTATTTGCTTATTTCAAGTGGTAAATAAATTAATAGATGATTAACCCATTAATGCCAAGCGGTTCCATTTGGAACCAGCGGAAAAAAATTGATTCATAATAAAATTCTATGGTCAAATCAATATACTAGTGGATGCGTAGGTTTGATCCACATCTTGTCCATGTTATGGCAACATTTGATTCTGCTGCACCACGCTGACGCAATACAACTCACCACGTGTTGGATGTTGCCACACAAAGTGACGGAATATAGGGATTTGGTAGGTTTCCATTCTAAAGGCTTTTTAATAAATATGGCAACATTTTGCGACGTTTCATCGTTGCTGACGTGTAGTGAAGTGTTTTGAGAGTCATGTGAAGGCAACAGAACTTACGTAACGCATACGTTTTTTTTATAGTTTTTCATTTCTCGATGCGTCCTTAATGTGTCGGAATATACCGCGTTTACCCTAAGCGACGGTTTTAGACACATAAAAACTAATTCCAACACAGCTTGGAATTAGACACACAGCTCATTCCGAGCTGTGTCCAAAAATTCAAATTTTCTCAATTAAAAGCTTAATCAAAAGCTTAACATTTTTTAATTAAGCTTGTTCTGAGCTGTGTTGTATTCCGATACAGCACACACAGGGTATCGAAATTCCAACACAGGGCGCCTAAATTACAAATTAATAGCGTTTGAAGCGCTGCCAGAATTAGTCTCACAATACGCCAAATTTAGTCACACTCACACACAGCATCAGAATTCAGGGATTTTGTAGGTTTGAATTCTAAAGGCTTTTAAATAAATATGGCAACAGTTTGTGACGTTTCATTGTTGCTGGCGTGTAGTGTGGCGTTTTGAGAGTGGCGTAAAGCAAACAGAACTCGAGTTGTGCATACGATGATATTTTCATAGCAATTTATTTTTTGCTAAGTCCTTAATGTGTCGAAATATGCCCTGTTTACCCTATATAAGTCAAGCCATGCACAAATTCAAAAAGAGGGATTTTAGAGTTGCTAGGTATGGTTTTTACAAATCGAATGGTATGTCTCTCATTGCCGTAGCTTAAAAACTCTCAGAGTTATATACTTTTTAAGATGGCGTTTTTTGGATTTTTAAATTGTTCAGGGGAGCCAAAATTGCCAAATATAGTAAAATTCATTGAAAACAGAAGAATGTGCCCAAAAAAGTCTTGATATTGTAGCCCAAGCTTTCCCCATTACCAATTATTTGCATTCAGGGTACCAGCATCAGCATGCCTGCAGGCTGCATGCATCTTTAGTCTCAAAATTTCAGTCAAAATGAGTCAAGAGTCACTCAAGACTCAAAAAAACGGTAAAGCCAAAATTTCTAATTAATAGGGTAGCCGGTCATCTATTCTGAATGAATGGATGCATTCCATGCTAAAAATTAAATTTTATTCTAGCATGATTGGTTTATCATCAGTATTGTCCATTATGAATACGTATATTACGTATTACGCATTATGGATAACATTGCTTGATTTACTATAGGTAAAAGTGTTGTTTGAAGAAACGTTATGTTAATGCCAAGCGGTTCCATATGGAACCAAGCTATAACTTTTCACCTACAACGAAAAATAAATACATGAACATATTTTTTGTTTATTACCATCACAAATGATAATATTCTCACAAGGAACCAAGAAAAAATTCAGAAAATAATTCTCGTCATTAATGGGTTAAGTTAAGCGATGGTTTTAGACACATAAAAACTAATTCCAACATAATAAATATGGCAACAGTTTGTGACGTTTCATCGTTGCTGGCGTGCATAGTGGCAAACCAGAGCTTTTTTAGAATCAGTTCATTTTTAAATGCCTCATTTACTCAAGATTTAAACCAATTTCTTAAGTATGATAATACTGGTATCCAGGATACTTTAATGGTCTACATATAGGACTCAAAAATGAACTTGAGGGAGAGTCTAAAAAACTCTCTGCTTTGCCACTATGCTGGCGTGTAGTGTGGTGTTTTGAGAGTGGCGTAAAGCAAACAGAACTTGAGTTGCGCATACGATGATTATGCGGATGATATTTTCATAGCGATTTATTTCTTGCTAAGTCCTTAATGTGTCGAAATATGCCCTGTTTACCCTATATAAGTCAAGCCATGCACAAATTCAAAAAGAGGGCTTTTAGAGACTTAGAGTTGCTAGGTATGGTTTTTACAAATCGAATGGTATGTCTCTCATTGCCATAGCTTAAAAACTCTTAAGAGTTATATACTTTTTAAGATGGCGTTTTTTGGATTTTTAAATTGTTCAGGGGAGCCAAAATTGCCAAATATAGCAAAATTCATTGAAAACAGAAGAATGTGCCCAAAAAAAGTCTTGATATTGTAGCCCAAGCTTTCCCCATTACCAATTATTTGCATTCAGGGACCAGGGTTACTCAGCAGGGTACCTACCAGGAACCAGCATGCCTGCATGCATCTTTTAGTCTCAAAATTTCAGTCAAAATGAGTCAAGAGTCACTCAAGACTCAAGAAAACGGTAAAGCCAAAATTTCTAATTAATAGGGTAGCCGGTCCCCTTAATAATAGAATATGAACCTATTCAAGATTTTAAGTTGACCTTAAAATTTAAAAAAAAATTTATCCTAAGTCATAGGCTTTGTATTGTAGGGTGCATTGAAATTGAAAAGTATCTTCAATTCATTAAAGATCTGAACTTTTACATGAAAGAGAAAAGCATCAATTACATTTTAAAATCATTGATACTTCATGGAAAAAAATGAATTTCGACTTACACGAGGAGGACCCATCTCACTTGAGTTTCACAAGCACAGTGCAGACTGTAGTACACTAGTACCTTAGCCTGGCTGTAGTGCAGAATTATTAAACTTAACGTAATAGCGATTCTAATTATAGGTAGGTATAAAGTTTGTAATTGAAGTCTGGGAGACAATCTAATTTTTTTTTGTAAAACTCGTATATTTCAGTGCATAAATGTAAATTAAAAAAGACCAAACAACGGTTTTAACGGGTTAAAAAGCACCCAATCTCAGCGTCAATATTGCCAAAACTGGCGACTTTCAAATAATCCGCCGCGGAGCCCGTTAGAGGGCGTGGAGTCCGCATCCAAGAAGCGCGAACCCACGTCTCTGCAGACTCTGCATGTCGGTTGCCGACGCTCTCGAACAGCAACAGCTGTTTAAAGCTTATTGAAGCCATAATATAAATCTTGAGCAATAACTGATTACGGTAGTTTTAGTCATGGCTACACGGATGCCACCGGCATTATTCTCTATTTCGTTTGACCGTTGATCGCAATAGATTATGTTACTCTAATTCAAATCTTGTGTAATAACTGAGTAAAGTGGCTTCAATCATGCCTTCACAGACGCTACTGGCATTATTCTCTCTTGAGTTTTGCCGTCTACCATTTTAGAAAATGTTATTTTTTACCGTTACCTCCCCGTAACTCGAATCTCGAATGTGATTTGAGTTACGGTGGTTTCAATTATGGCTTCATGGATGCTACCGGCATTACTCTCTCTTGAGCTTCACCTGCGGGGTTAATTAAATTTACGACATATCAAATTACGTAAAATTTCAAAGTCGACGGCTGCGTCAACGTTGCAATTTGAAATTTGCAGAAAATTTTACCCTTTCCTAAGGACTAATTTTAAAAAAGTTTTTTTTTTCGTCTTTGCTGAATCCCTATCTCGTCGCAAATTCGTCACTATTGTAGTCATTAGTCATGAGTTTCAATAAATATTGAACGAACAAAATAGTGAAACGAATATTCTAATTATTGAAAACGTATTTGATGATGCTAAGAAGAGGTACAAAAATTGCGAAGTTCCTAATCATCGGCCGCCATTGCGGTTTCATCGACCATGGGCGAGGTTATGAGAAATAGCAACCTTCTGCAGATGATTTCACACATAGAAATCTTCTCATGGCTAGAAGACTTGCGTTTTTTGAAGAAAATTATTTTCGTCTACTTGGGATATTTAAATAAAGATGTTTAAACTGTTGTCCGTTCTAAGTTTACAACATTAGCCTAATTACTATTAGGTATATAGAATAGCATAATAAATGTTTGCGAGTATCGTGAAAAACTTAAAATAATCTAATACTTAAGTGATCTTTGCTATAGAAAAATTATGTTGTAAGAAAATAACAAGATCTAACGATAGAACATCCATATATAGCTCATGATTTTTTATAAATTTGTCGGATCCACAACGAGCTCTCTCAATGAGATGATGGTCGATTTGTCGATTATAAATGCTGAAACAGCGTCACGTCGTCGGTGTTGCGACTATATAATGACAAATAGTTTTAAAAATGAATAGTTTTCCTTTGTCAGCAATTGCCAAGCTGTTAAACGCATTTAAAAACACATCATTTGTCAACCTAATTTAAATTGAGCAACATCAGGCATGCATTTTTTGTTTCCGCGAGACTAAATCGTGAACTTTATGATCAGGTAAGAAGTATACTGTCCGATTGCAAATTGACTAAACTTGAAGTCTATCATAGAGCATATACAAGTTAGGAGTAAAGACATAGAATCGCATTCTTCAGTCATAAATTTGATCGAAATCCAGATAACCGCAAGAAAAACAGATTCTAGGTTGTATACGTAGATCTAGAAAGCAGCGGTATATAGTATGGCTTGGGGGGCTAGCCAATTATATCTAGCGCCGTAAGCTAGTCACTTCGATCGGAACGTGACTCGGGCGCGGCGTGACTGATCACGATCGCTTTTATAGTCGGCCACTGAAATGTAGGCGTTTTTTCGGCTCTAGTTCGTATAAGGGAAGTAACTAAACTTTGCGGCACTGGGTCACTGGTGCACTGAAATTTCGATCCAAAGAAACCGTTTTTCGAAGCCGTAATACTTTCGGCAAATCACATATATCAGGGTATAAAACACTTACCAATCACCGGTTAGAAAACCAAATAGTAGTTTACTTGATAGGCGTATGTTGCAAATTGTTGATTGCACGATGTCTGGTTAAGTAAAGAACATGGCTCCTATTTGGCTAAGGAACATTATTACTTTGGGTCTACAACTGCCACGTGAGACAACGAATAACTGTAAATTTTCTATACTTGACACTGCATGGAATGGAATTTCACATGTAATTTTTGTCACATTTTTAACACGAGACAAGAAAAATGTACAATTTTGTTAGTAAACACGAAATGTTACAGAAAATATCATATAAAATCTAAGATACTAAGCGTGTCGATAAGTCATAACGCTTCAGATTTTTATATTTGTTAATTTCGATTTCATCCCATCAGAATTTTTTACATGAATTTTTAAATCTTCTAATCATTTTAGATCGATTGAGACTTAGATTCTTTTTAGGTATAGATTTTTTTAGCTTATTGGCTTCATCGACCACGCAAATATTATAAAATTGTATTTTGCATTTAATTCAAGTCTTGCCTACACAATATATAACGGAAACTTGTAATAAACCACACGCTTTGGAGCGCATTGAGGCACGAGGGAACCTCTTAACTCTCCCCTCACATGCAGGCAAATTGTGGACACCCCTCATAATTACTTACCCTCTGATGCTCTCACTCACTCACCCTCGGATGCTCTCACTCACTCACCCTCGGATGCTCTCACTCACCCTCAGATGCTCTCACTCACTCACCCTCGGATGCTCGCACTCACTCACCCTCGGATGCTCTCGTCACTCACTCACCCTCGGATACTCTCGTCACTCACTTACCCTCATAAGCCCTCACAACCCACCATCGGATGCTCTCACTCAGTTGCCCTCATAAGCCCTCACAACTCACCGTGGTATGCCTTCACTCACTCAGCTTGCTCACGGCAATAAATGTCGCTCGCGCTTCACGGTTCGTTTAACGCAACTCTCCCTTAAACGAAAAGCCGCCATCTTATGGCGTGTCTTTTGAGAAACGGCAGGATATAAATTATGAACATGAAAATTTGTAAGTTATCCCACACTTGAAGTTACACACTAACCTTCATTTGTTACAATTAAGACCCTTTGACGATAAAGAATTATGAAATCATAATTTGCAATTGTGATTTCAGTTTGATGCATGATGCCCAAAACAATGTTATATCAATGTTTGAAAATGTTTGGGCTTGTAAACTTCTTATATTGTACCAAACTTTCAAAACAAAATTGTATAAGTACATTTAAACTTAGAACTTATCAAAAATCATCGTATAAAAACGTTAACAGTGGATTCACTGAAAAAGTGTGAAATGAACTTCATTACTTTAGCTTAGCTTAACAGTGACCGTCTTATGTAATATATTTAATCTGGGGCCGTTAAATTCTATCACGTGTGGAACTTACACCAAAGATTTAATTCACAAAATTATACAAACTAAAAACCGTTTCGGTATCAGAAACCCGAATCTCGATGTTTGAGCAACGTGCTTGTTGAGGCTCATGAATAAAGAGCCTGTAAGTCAATACCATGAACAGAAACTCGACTCGTACAGAGTGAGGCGACTAAACTATATGAAAAATTATAGATTTTAGGCAGTCTCTAAACACCGACAAATTTTTCAGAGGTAATAAGTATTAAGGCAAAATAAGTTTTTCTACTTATATTTTTTCAATAGGAAAACAGAAGTTCATTCTGATCATCCTGACTGTACATGCAAAGCACGATGACACAAGCCATTAAATTCCCGACAAAATTATCACTTGTTATTTTGTGTGATAGTGAATGTTTAATCGCATGTCGATGCCCCATTAATAAAAAGTTTTGCCTTCCTAAATATATTGCACTAAATTTAAAGTGATAATATACATCTGAGGTTTACAGTCCACACGCGTTTCCTCCATACAGCAATCGTTAAACATATTATCTAATATACATGTACGTTTTGCTATGGCCATGTGAACATTTTTAAAACATTGCATGCGTCCAGAGAACAAATGTTTACCAATCTCTAAGCTTCTAAAGTGAGAGTCTCACACTGCTGGATATCTAGAGCACGAGACTTCAAAGTAAGTTATTGATGGACTAGTTCCTGAAAATCGTTGAGTTAAAGCATGCCTTCCGTTTAAAAATTCTCAAATTCTCGATTGTTTTCCTTAAACCACCATCGGAAATACAGAATCCTACGCTAATATTATCGCCTGGAAATACGTACGTGTGAGATTCCAAGCAGAAATTTTCACTTCCTGATCGACAGTCTGGAATTCTAAATAATAATTCTACGGTGTTATTAACCATCAGTCAATCATAAAAGTTATCTCAAGTCAATAAAGTTTTTAATAAGGTTTTCTTTTGTTCCGTTTGCACCGCATTCCAATAGGCCATAATAGATTTTTTCGAATTTTATTGTCAGAAACGAGCGCCAGAAAAAAATACTCCGTAAACTTGTATTTGTATGAGGAAAATTCGCTAGAGAAATTGTTAAGGAATGGAAATAGGAACAAATGTGAAGAAATGCGAGCAGATTATTTACAGCAGGCGTAGAGGAAAATTAAACTCGAGACCGAATGTAATTCTCGTCCACATCCAGATAACCATCTATTACCCGGCAGTATATTTAACTTCAATTCCTTCACCATAAGTAAAAATATTAGACTACGCTAATCCGAGGCTGAAACTTGGAGTTTTCGCAATAAAATGCCGTGAACATAGAAATGAGAGGGTTGGCCGCAGCTCCCAAACGATGGTTGTGAGCCCGGAGCGAGTTGAAAAGAAGGCATCTATCATGTAAGACGCCTCTTCGTCATCATGTTACGAGTCCCTAACCCAGTATTCGGAGCCATTTTAATACCCACAATGATGTCGTTGTGGGCAGAGAAAGTATAACCCTCGAGAAAACGACTTGGGCTCGCAGAAAGACACGGAAAAGGAGAACGTTATTTATCACGAAAACATCCCTCGCTTCATCTGCCCGGCAACGAAATATACGAGTCATTCACAGAGAATAATTTTCTAGAGCACACAAACGGGATTTATTTATCACGAAAACATCCCTCGCTTCATCTGCCCGGCAACGAAATATACGAGTCATTCACAGAGAATAATTCTCTAGAGCACACAAACGGGATTTATTCCT